AAAACTGTAGGAGTAGTAGCATTTTGAAAAATTGTTTACAGACTGACGGACAGCTAGACGGACGGACGATGGACACCTTACATACCTCGCATAAACTTGTCTGGTCCTCGACCAGTAGGGCTACAACGATATTTACACGTTTATCGACCAGTAGAGCTAAAAACGATATTTACACGTTTATCATTCATTTGATACTTTTTTCCATATATTCTTAGATTTCACTAGGTTTTTCATGTATAAATCAGAAAAAAAAATTTTCTCTGTCTTTCTTCAGAAACCCTTTTCTCTTCAAATTTAAGGTTTCTAGATGCAAGTTTTGTCCCATTTTTATACCTTTAAAAAATGCTGCTTCCCATGATCTGGAGTATTATTAAAATTGTATTGTGTATTCAGACATATTAAATTTCCTGACCCAAAATAAATTGAATGGACGAGATTTTAAAACGTAACACTAGAGAAGAGTAAGGTTGATCACGAATGAATAAGCGGCAGATCCTATATGTTACCTTCTTTATTGTCAAGTTGAAAGAGCTGTGAAGATTTTCCTTTAGATATTTGGGATTTATTTAGAACCGAAATATTATGACTAGAATGCACCTCAAGTACTATGTAGGCACTGACGCTATTTAATATTTCACACTACTTGTAATTAAGCTAAGACAGGGATACAAGATTTCATTCAAGCACCCGAATTAAATGAATTTCCCATTAAGTATTATATACTTGTATAATTATGATAATGAGGATCAGAGCCTACACTCAAAGCTATATAGTCGGAGTATCGTTGAAAACGCCGTTTTAAACAGAACACAAGAAAAATGGTAATAGATCCTTTTAAGGACTTTGTAATAGAAAATAGAAACGCACGACTTTCTGCATAAAGTAGTACGTGCCATTTTTGATATTCGTGAGAATCTTGTAATATACCTTTTCAATTAAAACCCTCTGAGGGAACAGATGAGGCTTGCCATGATGTGCATGTACTTGTAATATAGGTGTACTAAACGTTGTTTGATGGGGACGAGGGACTCGTTTAAATGCACCTTTTTTAACAACTTATTATAAACACGCAGAATAAGAAAGATGGGCAAACGGAGGAAAAATAACTTACCTTTACCCTCTTCCTTAACTCACTGTTATCCAGCGCAAGCAATCGCGTCATCTCGGGTCTTTCCGGCAGAGGTCGGATGTATTAACATCACCGGATGTTAAAAATTTATACATTTCCTGTTTAATCAAATATAGAATAGACGGAGTTAGAAGTCCCTTCTATAGTATATTTTAGGCAATATCATTACACTGAATAAAGTTAAACTCCATATTCCAAAGATAAAAGGTCCCCATGCAGTTATTTCAAAGATCATGAAAAGGGAGGGTTGTCATGGCGGCTTCCATATACATTCGAGGTCGCGTTTCCGCTATAGTCGGAAAGGCCCGAGAAGTTGCGATTGCCGGCGCAAGCACAAATCCTTTTAAAAAAATCCTTTTAAATTTACTTATAGAAAAATCCCCTTACAACAATTGCCTCGTCAGAAAAAAACGGCAGTATTTACATTTTTATGACCATAAGCAAAGCTAAAAAAAAATCTGACGTAGCCAAAAATTGTAATAGACAGGTGTAATCATTTTAAGTCAGGAATATACCGGATGCACCTGTACTTAAGAAATGCTTGTCTATGTCAAGTTACACCTTAAGGTAGGTCACTCGTCAGCTTTTTGGAAAAGTTCACGCAGAACCTCTTACTTCAAAACTATTTATCAAAATTCAATTTTTGTAACATATTTAATTTCAACAATGTTAATGTTTTAACATTCAACAAAAAAAAAAAAAAAAAAAAACTGCTCAAAAAGCTACAAAGAAGCAAGATTTGTGAGGGACTATTTTTTGTGGTGGAAGGATATTTAGCAGATAAATCTGCAAATCTGCACATTTATTAAATTTAATATCTTGGTCTTTTAGCCTCATATACTTTTACTCGGAGAATATTTTCCATTATGATATTGCTAGGAATATTTGATATAGGTCTTAATTTATATTTTTAGAACAAGTTTTACACCTTCCTTCAATAAATTTTGCCAAAGAATGAAGATATGTCAAATAAGTCAATATAAAATTAACACCATTTTTTGCCTGAAAATTACATATTTTGACCAATATTTCAAAATTAACATGCACTGACCCAAACTTTTTCTTTCATTATTTTAAAGTACTCGATACTTGTGACTGATCAGCACTTAAGTCGTAAAAAGCTTGATTTAGGAAAATGTTTTATTGTCTATTTAGTTTTTAATACCCCAAAATGTGTTAATTTTTAGTGCAAAAAGGTCACACAATAATTTACGCGCATTAATTTGCAATATTTTTTCAATGATAAATATTATTCAAAATATTTTACGTAAAATAGAATAATATTTTTAGCCATGGTTACATCTGATAAAATATAATAAAGGTTTAAGCAATTAACCAAAGAGTTAAAATGTAAGTGCAAAAAGGTCAACTTCATTGTACCGTAGATCAGTAAGATGAACACTGACCCCCTATTTTCTCTGCGATTTTGAGTCACTCTATATAAGTACTTATCCAAAATATACTTCTCAATAAATCCTAGATTTGACAAATTTCACGAGTGACATACATTAAACACCGAGAAGAGGGAGGTAGCGTGCTCACCCATTAACAAGGCTGCTAAAATCTAATTTTTTATAGAAAGAAGTAATAGATAAACCATGCAATTTTGACTATTTTATGGTGTTCTGTAAATTATACCATGGTTTCACAACCCTGGGTACCTCACGAGACGAAGTCGAGTGATGTTACCCAGGGTCGTGTAACCCAAACCATGGTATAATTTACAATGCACCACAAAACAATCAAAATATGTATGGTTTATCTGTTTTAACCTATGATATATGAATATTTTAACCTATGATACTTCCATTGCCCCTATGTAATAGGCATTTGTGTATAAATCCCCATACACCATGGTATAATTTCACATTGTTGCAGTTACACCATGGCTTCCATGGTATAATTTCTTTTTAATAATCCATGCTATAAAAAATAAAGCAAAACAGGGTTTCTTTATTAATTAATATTAACAAAATAAAGCAATTGTGTCACGACAAACAAATTTATCTGAATTTGTTTACAGTCCAAACAAATCTAAGAATGCCTGAACATGGTTGTTAATTTCCAAAATTAAAAGTGAAACTACACTGATTAAATCCACTTTTCAACTGGTTCAGAATTTCTGTTGCCGACGTTTCTGTAGGACCCACATTACATTTCAAATCAACACCGGGTTTTGGTAGACTTGGCAAGCTCGGTTTCACATCCACATTATGATTTTCTTTACCGGAACTGCATGTAGCATTTTGAACACACAAAGACGACTCTCCTACAATTTTCACTTTTTTGGAACAAGGTGGTTCGAGGATATTTGACAAATCTCTCAGCTGGTCGTTAGACGCACGCTTGTACTTTCGCACACCATTTAAACTCCTATGTCCGGTCCTGCTCATGATTTGCTGCTCGTCTAAACCGCTCTGGTACAACTGGGTTGCACATGTTCTTTTTCCTGACTGATTCGTGAAATTTCCCTCTAATCCTGCCTTGCTGCAAATTTCTTTCATCAAGTTTTCAAGCCTATTCACACCTATATTTTGCTTGGAAAATTTGAGAGTTCCAGGAATAGGGCGTTTGTAGAATTTTCCATCTTTGTCACCATTTAGAACAATGTAAGAAGTGTACAAATGGACAAGATTTCGGTCACTGTCCTCGGTAGTAACATGATGTTTAATGTTTTTGTGGTCAACATTCCGATGCTTTAACCCACCTTTAAAGGTTTTGTTTGCACGTTCCACGAACTGTATGAACTTGCCAGTGTCGTCCTCGCCTACCTCAAACTGAGAAATATATAGTTCATGATGCTCATCTCTACCCCTCAATCCAAATAGCTTGCAGTTGTAGAAAAAAAAACTCCATATAGAAATGCCTCACTGGATTCATGACCAATAACACCGGATGTCCAAAGCCGTTCTTCCTGGTCGCGGCTGATTGGGTCTGCTTGGCGTACAGTCGAACCATAACCTATGAAAACGAACAGACAATACAATGAAAATGGCAATTCGAAAGAGAGAGAGAGCGAGAGAAAGAAGCAAAGGACTGATTGACAAAACATTTTAAATAAATAAAGTTTCCATAAATATGTACATACCTTTAGATGTTAAAAACTTCATCTGGGCGTCAAGGCTCCGTCGAAATCGGATAAAACGGTCATCCTTTTCGTTCATTAAGTTCAGAATATTTCCGTTTTCTCGCATGTAGCGCAGAATACCCGTTGTTAAAAGGTAGAGTGATTTAGGAGGGTAAAAATCCCCATCACGTTTCCTTACTTCAACTATGAACCTCGAGAGCCATCTGTTTATGTCATCCACGGAAAAATGGTCCAAATTTGGAATATTTTCAAGTGCAGTATTTCGTGAAATGCGCCAATCATTAAACACACGAACTGCCCTTGCTGTACTTTTCTTAGTGTTGGCAGGGGTTGTCACAGAGTTTAGTTCATCCAAATCTTCGTCTTTGACTGAATTTCCGAATCCCAACGAATTCTCTGAATGGTAGTTACTTCCATGTTAGAATGGCTGGGTCCCGTTTCTCCACTCTCAGACTGATATCCAAGGTCAAAAGTCATATCCGCAAAATTAGATATCATGCACTCTGACTTAATGTAGTCCAGTTCTATACGATCGGTGATTTTACTTAATGTAAAGTTTTCATTGTCATCCCCAAGTTCATCGTCCAAAACTGGCAAAAGTTCCATGAAATCAAGATCGTCAACCTCCATGGTGTTTCTTAACTTAACTGCGCGCTTGACACCAAATTTGAATCACGTGATCATTTGAAAGAGGTTCCCCATGAGGTTAAACTTTCGATAATTCTTACATTTATCGCACTTTTTAAAAACATTTACTCAAAAGTTCAATCAAAGTTTTTTTGACCTTAGATTTCAGTCTGAGAGTGGAGAAACGGAACCAAGCCATTCTAACATGGAAGTAACTACCATTCAGAATACGTGTACTCTTTCAGAGAATTCGTTGAGATTCGGAAATCCAGTCAAAGACGAAGATTTGGATGAACTAATCTCCGGGACAACCCCTGCCAACACTAAGAAAAGTACAGCAAAGGCAGTTCGTGTGTTTAATGATTGGCGCATTTCACGAAATACTGCACTTGAAAATATTCCAAATTTGGACCATTTTTCCGTGGATGACATAAACAGATGGCTCTCGAGGTTCATAGTTGAAGTAAGGAAACGTGATGGGGATTTTTACCCTCCTAAATCACTCTACCTTTTAACAACGGGTATTCTGCGCTACATGCGAGAAAACGGAAATACTCTGAACTTTATGAACGAAAAGGATGACCGTTTTATCAGATTTCGACGGAGCCTTGACGCCCAGATGAAGTTTTTAACATCTAAAGGTTATGTACATATTCATGGAAACTTTATTTATTTAAAATGTTTTGTCAATCAGTCCTTTGCTTCTTTCTCTCTCTCTCGCTCTCTCTCTATCTCTCCTTCGAATTGCCATTTTCACTGTATTGTCTGTTCGTTTTCATAGGTTATGGTTCGACTGTACGCCAAGCAGACCCAATCAGCCGCGACCAGGAAGAACGGCTTTGGACATCCGACGTTGTTGGTCATGAATCCAGTGAGACATTGCTATATGGAGTTTTTTTCTACAACTGCAAGCTATTTGGATTGAGGGGTAGAGATGAGCATCATGAACTAGATATTTCTCAGTTTGAAGTAGGCGAGGACGACATTGGCAAGTTCATACAGTTCGTGGAACGTGCAAACAAAACCTTTAAAGGTGGGTTAAAGCATCGCAATGTTGACCACAAAAACATTAAACATTATGTTACTACCGAGGACAGTGACCGAAATCTTGTCCATTTGTACACTTCTTACATTGGTCTAATTGGTGACAAAGATGGAAAATTCTACAAACGCCCTATTCCTGGAACTCTCAAATTTTCCAAGCAAAATATAGGTGTGAATAGGTTTGAAAACTTGATGAAAGAAATGTGCAACAAGGCAGGATTAGAGGGAAATTTCACGAATCAGTCAAGAAAAAGAACATGTGCAACCCAGTTGTACCAGAGCGGTTTAGACGAGCAGCAAATCATGAGCAGGACCGTGCAGAGAAGTTTAAACGGTGTGTGAAAGTACAAGCGTGCGTCTAACGACCAGCCAAGAGACTTGTCAAACTCGAACCACCTTGTTCCAAAAAAGTGAAAATTGTTGAAGATTCGTCTTTGTGTGTTCAAAATGCTACATGCAGTTCCGGTAAAGAAAATCATAATGTGGATGTGAAATCGAGCTTGCCAAGTCTCCCAACTTCCGGTGTTGATTTGAAATGTAATGTGGGTTCTACAGAAACGTTGGCAACAGAGATTCTGAACCAGTTGAAAAGTGGATTTAATCAGTGTAGTTTCACTTTTAATTTTGGAAGTTAATAATCATGTTCAGGCATACTTAGATTTGTTTGGACTGTAAACAAATTTAGATAAATTTGTTTATCAGTGATACAATTGCTTTATTTTGTTAATTTTAATTAATAAAGACACCCTGATTTGCTTTATTTTTATAGCATGGATTATTGAAAAGAAATTATACCATGGAAGCCATGGTATAACTGCAACAATGTGAAATTATACCATGGTGTATGGGGATTTATACACAAATGCCTATAACATAGGGGCAATGGAAGTATCATGGGTTAATACGGAATTATAGTTAAGAACTTTTCATGGTTCATAAATAAAAATATGAATGTAAAGGTGTCTCAAATTTTTTAGTACCTGGTATGTCATTATTTTCCTCTAAATTATTACTTATCTAGAAAATAACCCAAGCTTAGGCCACACCAATAAAATTTCTTGTCCGTCGGACCCGTGCACTCGTATTTAAACAGAGCTATACAAATAATATTAATTTAAATTTCCCGCACCATTGGAATTTCGTGCCATTTTCTGTTCAATCTCCGCTCTATCTATCGTATTTTTAATCTGCAAATCATAAAAAAATAATTGTCCGTTCAAATTTTTTCACGCTCCGCCTATAAAATTGTCTACAAAAAAGTAATAATATTATTATTTAACCGCTAACCCGCTCGTCTTTTTTCCTCAAATGTCCGACGAACAAGAAATTAAATTGGAGCGGCCTTACATGGATTATTCTAAATTAAAACAGGGAAGGTGTTGAGAATTTCAGACAAGAGGCCCATGGACCTTGTAGGTCACCTGAGAATCATGCAACATTTTTCAAATGATAGAATTTCTTTCGTGTTTTAAGGTAGATGCTATGGCATTCACAAGTTTGAAAGAGGCTGGCACCATTGACTAATCATAACTATGAACTTGGCGATTGCTTAGTTTGGTTACGTAAAGGGATTGGGTGGTCGTTTCCATTTTTAGACTATTTCAAACTCCTTTAGAAGAAGAGCTCCATATAAAGATAAACAAAAATAGTCAAATTTTAAAACTAATATGTATGAAATTTTTCTTTGTCAAATGATAGGTGACAGCTAAAGATATCATATCCAAAAATTTAAGTTATATCTGGTGGTTCATTGCACAATTTCTGAAAAGGCACACTTGCTTATAAAAAATGTTTCAATTTTAAATCCATTTTCAGTATATAAGTAGAGCCCCCCCCCCATGGTATCCCTGACCCAGGGGCCTGGAAATTCACAATTCTGGAAGAAGAACCCTTGCACATCATAACTATATGGGTAGTTCATCTGCTTTTCACCCGGAAGCAAAGAAGAAAATTTTCAATGAATATATTTTCACTATATAGTCATTATAGAGCCCCGCCCTAACACCAGAACCCCTGACCCTGGGGCCATGAAATTCACAATTTTGGTGGAAGCATTCTTGCTCATCATGACTATGTACTTAGTTAGTTTAATTAATTCCTAGGAGGACAGAAGAGGATTTTCAAAGAATTAATGCATTTTTCACTATATAATCAATAGAGCCCCGCCCTAACACCAGAATCCCTGACCCAGGGGCCAAAAAATTCACAATTTTAAAAAAAGGCACTCTTACTCATCATAATTACATGTATGTACAAAGTTATTTTAATTAATACCCAGAAGCAGAGAGGAGGATTTTCAAAGAATTAATGCATTTTCACTTTATAATCAATAGAGCCCAGCCCTAACACCAGAGCCCCTGACCCTGGGACCCTAAGAAGAGGCACTATTGCTCATCATAACTATGTACTAATTTAGTTTATTTAATTCTCAGGAGCAAAGAAGATTTTCAAAGAAATAATGCATTTTCACTATATAATCAATATTGCCCCGCCCTAGTGGGGCCATGAATTTCACAATTTTGGTAGAGGACTCAATGCTGATAATAATCATGCCAACAGTTTGACTGCTTGATGTCCAGGAGTAAAGAAAAGATTTTTAAAGATTGCACTAATTTTAGTGGTTTTGGTCCCACTCCGCAGGCCCCAGGGAGGCCGGGACCATGAAATTCATAAATTTTGTTCCCCTTCACCCATAGATGCTATATGCCAAAATTGGTTGAAATTGGTTAAGTTGTTTCAGAGAAGAAGCTTAAAATGTGCCCAGTGAGCCTACTCTTTTTCGAACTCCAGAGAAACGATCTTTTACGTGCCAAGAGGTTTGTTATCATTAAGCAACATTTAACGCCCCGTCAGACGGACTTCCCCCCAAATTCAAAATTAGCGAAATGACACGCCCCAAATAAATTCCAAATTCCAAGTTTATGAAACCTCCACTAAGTAAATTCAAAGTCCTCGGTATATAGTATATAAATTGTATATTCCCTAAATAATTTTTAAAAAAATCAATATGATACCTCCCCCCAAGTAAATTTCTACTTCTGTTAATATGATACCCAATTTGATACATTTAGATATTGTGTTACTTTGATGAATACGAAAAACTGGTTTAAATCTTTGATAATTTTTGTAAATAAGAATTTTTCCAGAAAACATTTTCAAGGCTTAAAAGGCGTCAAAAATGATGGTGATATTGCTATTAGGTAAAGAAATCAAATGATCTATAATATGGAATATATTTTTCACACAATATTTTTATGATAAAAATTAAATTATTAAAAAAATGTGGTTTTCCAGTGCGCCACATAAAGATAAAATCTTGGATTTCCATTTGAATTCAGCCACCTACTTAAATAAAATTAAACATCATCCAAAAAACTCAATGATTTCTTAGAATTTGTGATTTTAAATTTACTCATCAAAGTACTTGAAATTAGATAAACCAAGAGGGGTATATTTTTATATTAAATGATATATTATTTTTGAAAAGAAACACATACTAGTATTAACAAATTAGGTCCATCTTTTTAGCATTGGAGTTTGAGTACAATTAAGAGTCTTAATCATTTCTTAGTGTCACAAATTGCTAAAAGGGGGTTATATATGATATTAAACAAGTTTGTTTTTTTGTAAGTTTATGACTAAAAGGTAACCAGCATAGACCGTTTCTTTCATTATGGTCATTGCAATGATCGGTGTTCTTCAAGAACAACTTAATTCTTTTTCATCATATGCATTTTTTTTATGTTTCAAAAAAAAAAACAAAAAAAAAACAACATAATAAACCTGTTAAAACACTCTATAATAGGGGTCGTTAATTAATTATACTGAAGATCACAATATTCATTCGACATTACAAAGGGCTTTCGCAAAGATTTAAGATACCGACACTTTTATTGGAAATCCTTTCATATAACATGTATAAGGAAAAAGACAAAATAAACTCTCATCTAAGATATTATCTCCTAATTGAAATGCGATGTATATGCATGTCAATATCAACCGTATCTGACATATTTCATCATTTTCCTCAGTCTCTGTATTGATTTATATTATTCTATTTTAAGTGGATGCTTTTGTTTGCACTTTGCGATTTCGACATTTTGAAAGATTTTGTGCAGAGAATTGCAGGTCAATATTTTAGTAAAACGTGATATTATAGTTGGCATTAGAAATTCATTTCGTAATGTATATTCCTGCTATTATATCAGAAACAACGGGATTTATTTTTGTATTTTAACTGGACATTTATCTTATTTATAGAAACTTGATTCTTTTAAAGACTGTGTGAAGAGAATATATTTTTTAATTCTGATAACTGATATACGAGTTCGTTTTGAAACAAAGAATTCATCTGATATTTAAGAAATTAACATGTCATGCCACACAAGCAGAAATATATACTATTAGGCATCTATACACAGTTCTGTCTTTATATTCGCATTCAACTTTGTTGATAACAGTTCTGATAGCTATCGGTGCCTTTTTTCCTCTGAAATTATTATCAGCCGCTCTTATTGCTTATATAGCCGACATTTCGAAATCATTGAAATAATTTTCATTTCACAATCGCTTACAGAATTGACATTTCGAAATGTATGATATAAAGTACGTTAATAAAATGTATCTAACTATGAAAAATTTATAGTCCTTATCAGTCATGAAGGAAAAAATGATCTGATCCTTCTAATTATAGAAAAAGAACTTAACTGAATGCCCTGGGGCCCATTTTACAAAGTAATTTACGACTATTTCAGATTATTATACAATTTTGCAAAATTGATAATTATCTTAGAAATTATCTGTGTAAAAATATCTTACCACATTCGTTTTAAAAAGTTTTTAAAAAAATTTCGATATGATGTTAATTAAAAAGTTATATAAAGAATTAAATCGTAAGTCTTTTGGTAAAACGGGCCCCTGGTTTTCTTAAATACATTTAGCTGATGAAAACATTAAATTGATGCTCAAAAATGTTGCTCAATGGGTAGGGAACAGATTCGGACAGTGAGTGTGCTTCATGTCGGCCATGACGTCACTGTACCTAGGTGTACGTCAGTGTTTCATTTTCAATTCAGAAATTAGAAAATACTTCAAGCACAGTGTCGTTAGCTTATTCAATGTTGAATTGGAAGTATCTGCCCTAAATTTCATTAATTGCTTAATTTTTATTTCATCTACTTTTACTTATCTAATTATCAATGGATCTAGTTGAAACAAGCAGATATGACTAAGTATTCCTTCATAAATTGTATCAAGATGATTGTTATTTAAATGAACAGCTTTCTCCATGAAAAAAATATAAATGTTATTGAAAGAGTCCAGTATGTACCTCCAACCTGGAAATAAGTTTAGTATGTATTCAAAATGTTCTGAAGAATTATCACATTTCACGATAAAAGAAAACAGACTAAACATATGTACCAATAACGTCTGACCTAATTTTTTAAAAAGTGTTTTTCACAAATTTTATTTAGTGATAGACACTTTTGTCATGATTTCAAACCCATGAAAAATCAGCAAAAATTATTATTCTTTGATTGCAAAGACTACCAAAAATTTCAAATTTAGTGCAAAAAATAGTACAGAAACTTAGTTATTAATCAAAATACTGAAAGCACTCATGGGAGTTGAACATGGTATAAAAAAATCTTTGATCGGAAGGTTAAGTGAGTGAACAATATTATTATTTCAAATACAGACAACTGTTTCAGATTTTTTGAGTTGCAACAATCTTAAAGACATTCAGAGACATTGAATAGACATTGAATAGCAAAAAAAAAAAAATGCATGGGCCATAATGCTTGCCTGCCTACATTAGTCCCTTTTTTATACCCCATGCTTGAAAAGTGGGAGGGTATTTATTAATCGGGATTTCCGTCCATCTGTTTGTTACGCTTAAGGTATACCCATCTCTTATCCGCAACTCCACTTTCACCACTGAACGAAATTTTCATAGAATCTTTATTACATATTGCCGTTGTGACCTTCCATTACTTTTTCAACCTATATTTTCATTTCCTATATTTCAATCCACATATTTTGGATTTTCCATTGCAAGACATGGACACTGCCATTATATTTATGTTAGAGGCGGTTAATCATTTATATAATTCACTGCTCATAGTCTTCAAATTAGTAATATATTTTTCCTTGGCACCTTTACCCATGTGTTTTGAAAATTTCAGTTTCGCAGGAATAATATCAATGTTATGTTGATAAAATGTGAATTTTCACACAGCATCCTTTCAAGAGCTAACAGGTTTGTTATATAAAACTTCTCTGTGAATATAAATGTATTTCAATTACAGAAACATTATACATGGAGTACGTCAGAACTTAATCTTTTTTAATATTGTGAAGAAAAAAGCAATACCAAGTCAAAAACAAATATTTAATGACCAAACATAAAAACAGTGGTATATGTGAGAGTTTGTGTGCGTACAAATTATCTAGTATGTAAATGAGGTTTTCCTTTTATTAAAAAAAATATACTTCATTTTGTTGTTTTTTATCGCGAATTTACGAAAACATCGGTGTCCGTTTTTGGTTTTAACATTTATAACAGAGTACTAGATTTACAGCTTTTGGCAGGTGATACTGCTGATTTAGTAATAAATACGCATGTTTCCTAAAGTTTTATGCATTAATGAATTCTTTTAAACCAAGAAAATGTTCATGAAAAGTTTGAATAAATTTCGTGCACCGATAAAAAAGAAATTGCTAAAAACCTGGGACCGTCGGGCGTCGGGAAGACTAGATTTACCGCTTGCCGTCAGTATATAGAATTGTCGTTTATATCTCTTTCAGTGTATGACGCTACACTGAAAATATTTTAATGAGTTCCATTACGAAAAACTTTTGAGGTTCTTTATAATTTAGTTTTACTTTGAAGGAAATCTAATATTCAAAATATTAAGATGACTTTATCATTACATTTACTTACATTTCAAATTATGAAAATTAGATCAATTCAGGAGAAAATGACATGAACTATTTGTGGTGGATGTTTATGCCTGTTTCTGTTGAATATCATCGGAGTAAATCGGTCGACACAGTAGCCTCGCTTTCGGCTCTACATAATCAACACAAATTACTGCGCATGTTAAATGCTTGATGACCATGGGAGATTGAACATAGTTCAACTCCCAAAATGGAAAGAATAAAACAAGCAATGCCAGCATTGTATATTTATAGGGGAAATATATAGAAAATACATGAATATCAGGATCTGATTATATAATATAGTTCTTGTCTAATGTATTAACTTAAATAAATATAATATGTTTATCATTTTTAGCTCACCTGAGCCGAAGGCTCAAGTGAGCTTTTCTGATCACATTTTGTCCGTCGTCCGTCCGTCTGTCCGTCCGTCCGTCCGTCTGTAAACTTTTCACATTTTCGACTTCTTCTCAAGAACCAATGGGCCAATTTTAACCAAACTTGGTACAAAGCATCCTTGGGTAAAGGGGAGTTTAAATTATTAAAATGAAGGGCCAAGTCCCCTTACAAGGGGAGATAATCAAGAAAAGACAAAAATAGGGTGGGGTCACTAAAAAATCTTCTTCTCAAGAACCACTGGGCCAGGAAAGCTGAAACTTATGTGGAAGCATCCTTGGGTAGTGTAGATATTAAATTGTTAAAATCATGACCCCCCTGGGGTAGGGCGGGGCCACAATATGAAAACCAAGTTTTACATAGAAATATATAGAACAAATCTTTAAAAATCTTCTTCTCAAGAACCACTGGGTCAGGAAAGCTGAAACTTATGTGGAAGCATCCTTGGGTAGTGTAAATATTAAATTGTTAAAATCATGACCCCCGGGGGTAGGGCGGGGCCACAATAGGGAATCCAAGTTTTACATAGAAATATATAGAACAAATCTTTAAAAATCTTCTTCTCAAGAACCACTGGGCCAGGAAAGCTGAAACTTATGTGGAAGCATCCTTGGGTAGTGTAAATATTAAATTGTTAAAATCATGACCCCCGGGGGTAGGGTGGGGCCACAATAGGGAATCCAAGTTTTACATAGAAATATATAGAACAAATCTTTAAAAATCTTCTTCTCAAGAACCACTGGGCCAGGAAAGCTGAAACTTATGTGGAAGCATCCTTGGGTAGTGTAGATATTAAATTGTTAAAATCATGACCCCCGGGGGTAGGGTGGGGCCACAATAGGGAATCCAAGTTTTACATAGAAATATATAGAACAAATCTTTAAAAATCTTCTCCTCAAGAACCACTGGGCCAGGAATGCTGAAACTTATGTGGGAGCATCTTGGGTGGTGTATATATTAAATTGTTAAAATAGTGACCCCCGGGGGTAGGGTGGGGCCACAATAGGGAATCCAAGTTTTACATAGAAATATATAGAACAAATCTTTAAAAATCTTCTCCTCAAGAACCACTGGGCCAGGAAAGCTGAAACTTATGTGGAAGCATCCTTGGGTAGTGTAGATGTTAAATTGTTAAAATCATGACCCCTGGGGGTGGGGCGGGGCCACAATAGGGAATCCAAGTTTTACATAGAAATATGTAGAACAAATCTTTAAAAAATCTTCTTCTCAAGAACCACTGGGCCAGGAAAGCTGAAACTAATGTGGAAGCATCCTTGGGTAGTGTAGATTCTAAAGTTTTAAAATAAAAAAGGGAAGGGGGTTGTTGGGCATGATAGGTATAGCAAGAGGGGGAATCTGGTAAAGATCTGCCTCACCCAAGTTACTCAGGTGAGCGATGTGGCCCATGGGCCTCTTGTTTATAATATGTACACACCGCTTCAAATTATAACACAGTGTCAACTCTGAACAAGGACAAAAAAAAAAAATAAAATCCCCTTGTTCCAATGAAAGGATCAGTCAAATTTTGTTCAAACTGTCTGAACATAATTAGCAATAAAATAACAAACAAGATTTCATTCATTGTGAACATTTTCAAAGAAACTGATGTATTGTGCTATTGTTATTTTCTTGTTCGGATGCATCAACTGACACATTCGGTCGCGTAAATGATTTCAATCGTACGCCAGCTAGATGATATTCGAGCTATCGTTCGATGCCATTAAAAGTAGAAAGAGTTGCAACATTTATTGACGTATGTTACGACGAACCATCATTT